TGCAGTGGGGCTCCAGGCTCCACAGCTGACCCTGGGTTCCAGGCTGTGTGCCAGCTTTGAAATGTTCAAGGGTCCCCAACGGAAGCTCTTGTGCATGTCAAAGAAGAAGTCTGGGGCCAGTGTGGGGACTCTGAGTTCACCACTGACTCAGGCTCAAAGTGGTGCTTCTGCTTTGAAATGCTCAAGAGCTCCTGCTGGGCTACCCTTCCTCTTGCCAGGTTCCCACCAGGGTGCGACCAGCTGTCAGGCTCTCTCAGCCCCCAGGCGGAAAAGGCGGCTCCAGGCTGGCTCCCCGGGCTGGCCTGCCAGCTCGGGTCCCCAAGCTGCCCCGGCTGGTTGGTCCCAGGGATGGTACCAGCATAGCCACCTGGGAGGGAAGTGCCCGCATGGAGGCCGGAGTCAGTAGGATTGCCAAGTATCTGGTTTTCACCCGGACAGTCTGGTATTTGTGGCCCCTGTCCAGTATTTTCTGTTTTTTTAACCGGACATGTAAAATGTCTGGTATTTTCTGTTTTTCTCGGATGGAAGGCCTGTGGGGCCATTCTTCCCCTGCTGTGTCTGGTGGGAGGCATGGGGATTTAAAGGGGCAATGACTTTTTTTTCCTTTGCTCAACAAATTTGGTCCCATTTGTTTGTTTTTTCTCAACCAGTTTTCTTCCCTGCCATATTTGGGATTTTTTGTGAAAGTATCTGGCAACCCTAGGAGTCAGTGGGACTTCCCGCAGGCCCTGGGCTCCACGTGGCATTCCAACTTTGAAATACTTAGGAGCCTCCACTGGGGCTCTTGTATATTTCAAAGGCGGAATGCACAAGTGCTTACCAACTATTCACTTAAGCAAATTAATCGCTACTTAACATCCCTATACTAAAGCAGCAAAAATGACAAACATGATTTTAAAATATCATTGTTACTAACTGAAAGCATTAAAAAAATCAAGTCATGTCCTGCAAAATCATGACATTTAAAAAAGTTAATTATTAAGTTAATTTTCATTTCAAAAGAAAAAAAAACTAAGATTCTCAGGAAGTCACAAGATTTTAGAAGTATGGAGTTTTACCAAAACACCTATGGCAATTGTACAGTTGTCAGGCTCTCTCAGCCCCCAGGCTCCCAAGACAGCCCTATGGCTCTAGCCCTATGGCTCCCAAAATAGGGGAGAGACAAGGTGGTTCTTCAGGTCACCTAAAGAAAAGCAGATCGCTGTTAAGGCAGAAAGGCAAACTTGGCCCTGCTATGAACGAAAGATGGTCCAAAAAAAGATTTTACCTCATCCACCCTGACAACTCAGAACCCTTTTCAGGCCACCTTTAAAGGAAAAGATAACTGTGGAAAGATTTGCTTGCAGTGAAACTCAACTCACGAATTTTGATTTTATTATTTTAGTAACAAAAAGCAGATCGCTGTTAAGGCAGAAAGGCAAACTTGGCCCTGCTATGAACGAAAGATGGTCCAAAAAAAGATTTTACCTCATCCACCCTGACAACTCAGAACCCTTTTCAGGCCACCTTTAAAGGAAAAGATAACTGTGGAAAGATTTGCTTGCAGTGAAACTCAACTCACGAATTTTGATTTTATTATTTTAGTAACAAAATCAAT